AACACTTAAAATACACACCCTCTCCCCTCAACCCTCAAATGAAGCGGACACTTCTGATGACGTATCATGACATATGATGAGTTGACACTTGCAGGGCATAAGGCGAGGATAAGTGGAGAAGGGTGTGTCTTTTACGTGTTTGAAACGCAGCCTTTCTGTCTGTAATAAAGCCCTTTTGTGGGGAAAAACTCATTCTGATTGGCTGGGCCTGGCTCCCCAGGGGTTGGGCCTATACCCTCCCAGGCCCACCCATGGCTGCGCCCCTGCCCAGTCATGTGATATCCATAGATTAGGGCCTAATTCATTTATTTCAATTGACTGATTTCCTTATATGAACTGTAACTCAGTAGAATTGTTGAATTTGTTGCATGTTGTGTTTATATTTTTGTTCGGTGTAATATTCAATAAATATAGTGCCTAACATCCGATTTGGACCAAACTTTTTTCTAACAATGAGTTAGACATTAGGAATCCAAAGAAATGGTCAAAAGCTACCCACATACCCTCCACATCCCACGCCAATCCCACCACAACAACGAGTATAGTATCAGTTCTCTATGTCTGACAAGTAGTTTGGAGCTGTGCTCTGAGTATTGTTTCTTCATCCTATGTAATTTATTCCCAGTGAATTTGGTGGTGTTTTTTACCCCCCTGTTCAGATAAATTTGTAATTGAAGTTAGGTTTATGTCCCATCCTACATCCTGATATTACCAGGAGGCTTGCTGAAATAACATGGAACGACCCATTTGTATTCTGATACAGATAATTATATGGATGCTTCGGGAAGACCAAGGTATGTATTGTCAACACTGTTGTGAAGACAGTTACGTTTTTTCCAAGTAGACTACCTCCGTACCATGAATGCATTATAACTCTGCTTTATTTGATAACTCTGCTTTATTTGATTGCCATGATATGATTACTTTGATCTTTGGACAACACTGTTGACTAAACTGAATCAATTGGATATCTGAATATCAGCAGCTCTGATCGATCAAGTGAGTAGTGGGTTGCTGAGCAAAATGTCCTCTTTCTTTGCTCCTCTTCAGAACTGACAAGAGATGCACCTAATGAGGAAGAACTACCAGGACTTTAAGGCTTTAGCCCAGACTCTTTCAATGGATATGTCCATGCGCAAAGCTTATATCAAGGCGTGCTAAATCCCCCCATCATCTGTTTTCCATGCTCCCTTTCTATTCCTCTCTTTGTCTCACACGATTACATGGGTGTAATTGACATCTATATGCCTTGTGTGACCTTCAACTATTCCTGGTTTCAATGGTGTCTTGTGATGTGAATGAAGAAGATGCACAATGCTGAATACATGATAAGCCACTCTGAGAAGATAGTGCCACGATAAAGGTTTGGTAGCTGTTCCTTTGCTGTCCAGTAGGGGATGCTATATATTCAGCCTTTAGTAGATTATGGTGAAACTCTAAAGGAATTGAGATGGTATGATGGAGGAATGCCTGTCTCCTTCTCTAGGGTTGAGGTGTTGTGTGTAGGATGTAGTATATGTATTGATGTGCAGGTTCTCTGAACAATATGGAGAATGCTATGCCCAGAAACTGCAAAGTGACACATTTTTTGACCAGGTGTGTATATGTGTGTGTACAAGAATGGAGATTATTATACATTCCAAAGGTGTTCGATGGGGTTGAGGTCAGAGCTCTGTGCAGGCCAGTCAAGTTCTTCCACACCGATGCTGTAGCGTTAAGATTTCCCTTCACTGGAACTAAGGGGCCTAGCCCGACCATGAAAAACAGCCTCAGACCATTATTCCTCTTACACCAAACTTTACAGTTGGCACTATGCATTCTGGCAGGTAGCGTTAGCCTGGCATCCGCCAAACCCAGATTTGTCCGTCGGACTGCCAGATGGTGAAGCGTGATTCATCACTCAAGAGAACGCATTTCCACTGCTCCAGAGTCCTAAGGTGGCGAGCTTTACACCACTCCAACCGGCGCTTGGCATTGCGCATGGTGATCTTAGGCTTGTGTGCGGCTGCTCGGCCATGGAAACACCATTTCATGAAGTTCCCGATTAACAGTTTTTGTGCTGATGTTGCTTCCAGAGGCAGTTTGGAACTTGGTGGTGAGCATCAGAATTCAGGTTACATTTCAGTAAAACAGTATTCAATAGGCCCAATTTAACCGGGTGTAGTATAATAACCCTTTCCATACCATAATACACAGCACCAGTTTCTTACTGACCTAGATTCTTACACAATAATGAGTGTGAACCTCTGTATGACCTCAGGAACGGTTGTATTTCATGCAGGGTTATGTTGACTCAAAGAGGGGTCTGTTTGATGGCATGGGTTAAATATGACCCGGAGCTTCTGAGTGGACTGCTACTGTCGTGACATGCAACCAAAATCTGCTGACCAATCATTGTGAACCTCTTTTTCGTTGACCAATCAATGATGATCACCTTATTGGAAGTTGGGTACATCATGCACCATGCAACAGGGCGATTCCCCGCCAACGGGAGCGGAAAATATTTTTGGTATCTCAGTCAGATTGTTCTGGCAATTCTTACATAGGAACTTAATTGGGAGGAATGATGTTTAACGTGTTTTTTTACATTTGTATCACAAAATCATGATGAAAAATTGCCCATTTTAGTCCCTTTTTTAGACCTATACATACCTGCTGTAAGGTACTATGATCTGTGAACCGTACATGACAGACAACATCTTCGTGTCATTATACTCCTTATAGTGTTTTCTCAAATATGGAGTATGTCTACATTCTGAAATACATCATTTCATATTAATTTTATTAAAAAATAAAAAATGTTAATATTAATATCTCAAAACAACCCTTTTTTTATTTATACTGAACAAAAATATAAACGCAACATGCAACAATTTCAAAGATTTTGCTGAGTTACAGCCCATTGAAATAAATTCATTAGGTCCTAATCTATGGATTTCACATGACTGGGTGCAGACACAGGTAGGCCTGGGAGGGCATAGGCCCACCCACTTGAGAGCCAGGCCGACCCACTGGGGAGCCAGGCCCAGCCAATCAGAATGAGTTTTTCCCCACAAAAGGGCTTTATTACAGACAGAAAAACTCCTCAGCACCACAATTTCTGCTATCTTTTATTTCAGCTCATGAAAAATGGGACAAACAGTTTACATTTACATATTTTTTTAGTGTAGTTTATTTTTAGACATTGTTTGTAACAATTATAATCTTCAAACACGTAACATTTCCAGAGTGACCCATTTTATACATAGAAATTGACATTATAGGTCATTAACCAATCACAGCCCTCTTTTAAGATTGCACATTCTGCAAGTCACCAGCAGAGGGAGTTCCCTTTGAATGCGTTTTCCCATTCACTGTGTTGGTGGTGCTCATAAAATTGTTCACACCTTCAGAATTAGCAGAGACCCCACTCTGGAAATGTGATGTACTTGTAGAGTATATTGTTCCAAACAATGTCTTAAAATTAACAACATCAAAAAGGGTTATTTTTAAATATTAATATATTCAACCTTGAATAAATTAATGTGAAAAATTGTATTTCAGAATCAAGACATACTCCATATTTTAGAGTAGACTATTACGAGTATAATGACACCAAGATGTTGTCTGTACCATTTACTGTTCACAGATCATAAGGTCTTACAGGAGGCATGTATAGGTCTAAAAAGGGCCTAAAATTGCCACTTTCATTCTGATTTTCTCAAAAATGGTTTGTGATACAAATGTAAAAAGCATTTCAAACATCCTTCCTGCCAATGAAGTTTCTATATGAGAATTTAACAGAAAAGTACTGTTAGTCCATAATCAATTTGCGGTAGGTCAGGTGAGGACACCGATTCAGGGTATGTGTTTCAAGGTAAATGTTTTATTTATTCAGAATGGTGTGTATGTAGAAGGTGGACAGGAACGTGGTCAACAGAGGTACGGAGAATGACAGGGTCCTTCACTGACTCAACCCCATCAGGCTGGCTGGTGCATAGGGCACAGGGTCTTTAGCCAGATGATAAGGGGATGGTGGGGTACAAAGTTCAAGGGGAGTTTTGTGTGTTTTGGACAACTGCTAAATGTTTTTATTAGGATTTGAATGTATTTATCTTTAGAGAAAGTACATTCCTCTGTAAATGTTTCAGGACACAGTTGCTCTCTCTTCATCAATATTGCATCATGAATCTTTCAGTCCCAGTTCACTGATTTACCCATCATGAGGGTAATCAACCCCCAGAGTGAAGCAAAAAAACAACAGTTATACTGTAGGCTACCTGTTACATTACTGTGTTAAATAAAAATTGTAAAGTGAAGCTATATTTTCCACTTGCACTGTATCATACGCTACTTATCTGCATTTGACTGTTTATACCTATTTAGCTTACATGTATTACTGTACACATACTGTACATGCTGTGGTCATTTGGGACATTTGCCAGAAATCCCTTTCATAATTCCCTTCAGAAACTGGATTGCAAAATAACCCAATGCATGGAGCACTGAAACACCACTGGAGCACTGAAACACCACTGTCAAAACAAATTCTGGAGAGACCATTATGTAAGCATACTTAGCCCCCTTTTTACATTGTTATTTTTTTACAAAGGAAAAATAATGCTCATCCTAAACTGCACTCAAGCTGACTGAGCCTCAAAACGTTTTTGGGAGATCGTTTGTTAGAGGCTGAAATCAATTACTTTGATAAATCTAAACTGATTGATGCTTCATTAGAATAAAAAAAATATCCTATTCATGAAACGTAGGAAAATATTCGCATTACGCACGAGGACAGCCCATGAGTCTCCTCTCACGAGTCTCGTATATGTATTTTTGAAAGAGTTAAATTATACAGTTAAACCCAAACCTTGAGGTGTTTCAAATTTTTTGGAATGGCGTAACGGGGGTGTATGGCACAACACTCAGTCTCCACCAATGAAATTATGGGTAGGGTTCAACACCCATTTTCGGGGGCTTGCTATAAAGCTGGTTTATAACAGACTTATCAGTCAAAGTACATATAGAGTATTTTACTTGAATTCCTTCATTTGGAGTGTGAAATTCTTTTGAGATTGTAAAGGTATTTAAACATGCTTTTGTCATTTAAATGTATGAATACGCATTTAACTAACCTTTGCAAGTAAATATCAAATTTATTAACAAGCAATTTAAAATAAGCTACGGGTCAAATTGATTATTGCCTTTTATTTAAGCCATAGCTCGCATGTTTATTATTATGCATGCACAAACAAATATGACCTTATTCAAAAGAGATGCCTATAGGCAATGTAGTTTCAGAATATTTGTTGTTTTTGTCTTATTTCAATTGTCTTATCTTTTTCTCATATTTTTTGGATAACTCAGAGCCAGCTTGCCTTCTAGAGTTGATTAGATTATTCGATTTTATTTGGTTAGTTTTCAGTTAATTAGGTTATTTAATTTATTGTTCTTGCATGATGTAAATATATTTTACTGCTTAACCTATGGACTATACAATGCATGTATTTATACTGCGCTTGTGAAAAGATAGCCATTGATAAATTGATAGACTTGTCCCAGTCGGATCAGTAGATGGCTCTTCATTAGACCACCTTAATGTTAAACTGCGCGCATATCTTAATTTAAGTTCAAAACAGTAAGCGCAGCGCGTTTGATTTCAACCTGGATTTTATAGACATCGCACCTGTTGAATTTACATGGGTAATTTAACATCTGGGCTAGCCTACTTCTCTGCACTGATGTTTTATTATCCAACAAGTTTATTTGCAGTTTTCCAATTTATTGTTTGTATATCAACTAATAATCCTAATCTATAGTATTTTATTTGTATTATATTTTTATAACATTTTTAATGCAGGAATTATTAATCAAAATCTATTTGTTTTACCTATCTTTTTCTCCCAATTTGACTTTTCTACCATCTGTAGCTGCAGTTGCAACATGGAGAACAATTCCTATGTGGTCAAAATGAATGGGAATGGTGTCAATGAAAAGAATGCTCTCAATGGAAACGGTCTTAATGGGAATGATATCAATCATAAGACTGTGAATGGCAGTGTTTATACAGCCAAGCAGAAGAGCAGCAGGCAGCGATGGAACATCCGGCCCTCAGAGATGTCAAACAACACCTTGAATCCCATCCGTGCCATTGTGGACGGGATGAAGCTCACACCCAATCCCGAGAAGCCCATGATTGCTCTATCCATTGGTGAGATGCTACACCACTATCTCATTTGAATATGCTCAGTGTGTTCACTTGTGATGTGCAGTTGTCCAGAATGATGTTTCTTATGTACTCCTTTGTCTTCCTGTCACACCATCAGGGGACCCTACAGTGTTCGGGAACCTGCCTACCAATGAAAAAGTTATCCAGGCCATGAAGGATGCCATTGACTCACACAAATACAACGGCTATGCTCCATCTGTTGGTAGGACTCATACAAACACTTTATCATGGCACCAACACTTCAAAAAGCTTGTCAAGTGCAAAAAACTAAGGATAGAGTGAGATGTAAAGTAAAAGGGATTCATTTTTACATTTCTTTTTTTACATGGTAATTTGGAGAATGTGAGATGAGGCACAGCGAAAGGTGGGGTTGGGTGGCTTGCAAGGGGGTGAGAGGTTGGATGTTAAAGGAATTTCAGTCAGGGAAGTTAAGAAAGCAAAGTGAAATAGGGCCAATTAACAGTCTGCAGATGAACTGAATAGGTTCCCCGCTATTATTGATGATGATTGTAGGTCTAATGACATATGCATGCGAAATCTCCCTTTCTCCCAGCAGACTACTGAATACAGTATACAGTACAAAATATAAGCTGTTGTCTTCTACTCATCGACAGGTTATCAGAAGAGCAGAGAGGTGGTGGCAAACTTCTACAGTTGCCCCGAAGCCCCCTTGGAGTCAGAGGTGTGTCCTGCATGTCCTCGTTCAAACGTTATTTTTCTTCACCATATATTCACCTCTGTCTCTCTACTGTAACGTTTCCCCAGAACCAGAGGACATACAGACCTCTAAACATCTCTAGTTATCTTCCTCTATCTTCCTTGCAGGATGTGCTTCTGACCAGTGGCTGCAGCCAGGCTATAGATCTGGCCATCACAGTGCTGTGTAACCCTGGTGACAACATCCTAATCCCCTGCCCTGGATTCTCCCTCTACAAGACCCTGGCTGTGTCTCTGGGCATCCAGGTCAAACTGTACAACCTGCTGGTGAGTGCTGGAGGGAGAGGGGGAGGGATTCAAATGGGAGGGAGAGTGACAAAAACATGTTTTGAGGAGAAGGAGCAAAATAGAGGGAAAATAAAGTAAACAAAGAAAAAAGCTGGCTGATATAGATTTTTTGTGAAGAGAAAGAGAGAGGGAGGGAGAGAGCAAGAGAGAGCGAGGGCAAATAAAAATATATTGTTGAAAGGGAAAGAGCGGGGGAAATGCTGAGTTCTTCCTCACTGGTGCACATCTGGCACTTATAAATCACGTTGGATGCTTTCTTTCCTTTAGGCTTACGCACGCACGCACGCATGCACGCACGCACGCACGCACGCACGCACGCACGCACGCACGCACGCACGCACACACACACACACACACACACACACACACACACACACACACACACACACATACTACATACATACATACAAATACATAAATACTTGGAGCTGCATATCATTTTGAGTTTAATTAGAAATATGAACTACTTTTGAAAACTGAATTCAGGTCACTCTGGGACACAGTTGTATGTCGTGACTCTTGAGGTCATGGTGTTTACATGACGACTGCACACAATGTAAAGAGCTGCTACTGAGCCACCTTACAGAGCTCCCATTAAACCAAACAACTCTCAAACCAGAGTAGTTTATAGTCAGGCTACTCATCTCAGGGTGCAGTCTTAGCTTACGTCATTTTATGTCTAGTCATGGGCCTCTGCTAGCTGCCACCGCCGAGTCAGAGGTATGTGTAGTGAGGGCACTAAGAGATCAAAGGTCAGTTGAGACAGTTAGGGCAGTGCAGAATCTGCAGATAGGTTTGTGTGTTTTCCAGTGCATGTGCCTGCTCTCTGCCTCACGGTGGCTTTGTCTGTCCTTGCAGCCAGAGAAGTCTTGGGAGATCGATCTCCAGCATATGGAAAGCCTGATCGATGACAGGACAACCTGCCTGATCATCAACAATCCCTCCAACCCTTGCGGCTCTGTCTACAGTAAAGAGCACCTACAGAACGTCCTCTCTGGTGAGCTCTGTTCATTCACCCCCTGGGCCACAGTGTTCCCTCTCACTATAGCACAATATAAGTATTTGGTTGATATTATTAATCCAGTTTAAAAAAACAATTATGACTTTGTCTATTCTCTTGTCTAGTTGCCTCCAAAAATTGCATCCCAATCCTGGCTGATGAGATCTATGGTGACATGGTGAGTTTATACACACACAGAAGCACTCTCAGAAACAACCACAACACAGACAGACACTCATACAGACTAATACAGAACTGCCATTGTGTCTGTTGCATGAAAGGAGAGGATAATGTATTGTCTTCTGGCATTGAGGAGATATTGAGCTTACTAGGGTCTAACACAGGGTGGATTGGGTTATGATGGTCTATGGAGGTGTGGTGGAGTACAGTAATAGCCAGGTCAAGCATCCAGGAGGGGGCTTCTGTTTCTGGGGTATAGCCTACATGCTGGCCACTGGCCCTCATGTAATACATAATACCAGCGAGGCACATTCTTTAACATTCTGTAACAGGGAGGTTTTCCCTGGCTCAGCTCTGCTGGGTATCCGAGGAGACCTGCCTGACACGTCCACATCAGCACTGGGGGGATTAGGGGTGTCACAGGCTGAATGCGGAGCCTGGCAGTGGCGGGGCAACAGTGCTGGGGTTAGGTCAGCCAGGTCAAGTGAAGGATGAGCCACAGAGGTAATACTGTAGTAGTGCTTAGTGATTAGTGCTTTTTGAGATCGGTTCGGTTTTGTTTCGATTATTAAAAAAATTGAGTTTTTGATTTCAGTTTCGATTATTTTTTAAAAACATTAAAAGCACTATGCATTATGTGGGTTGAATGCTGTAACAACACAGAATAAAACAATTAATAAAAGTCCCATGATGCTTATCACTTATTAACCATAATTTATTCACATTACTTTAATAACATATTTCAGTTGTTTTGTATACTACATTTGTTTTATTTGATGACTATTATTTAATTCTAAGTCATCATCTCATCTCTATAGAGCTGCTGCCTGTGCTGTCTGACAAAATCACTATTTTAGTAGTTCTTCAAAGTAAATAAGGCATACTTTTATGACTGCTGAATATCAACTATCAATCACTTAGATAATGTATTTTCAGGTAGAGATACCTTGCGAAGCAACAGCTGCTCTCTATATCACCTCAGAATCGACAGTAGGCGGTCCTCTGCTCTGCTTTGAGGGTTGGAATTAGTTTAGTAATTTCCTAAAATTGTTTAGAGATTTATTATGGAATAGTTTAAGGTATTGGAATTTGTTTTTATCATTGTTGGGGGTCAAACATATTATATTTTTCCATTTAGATTCTGTAAGGTTTTTTAAGGTGTGTTTAATAGGGGAACATAATTTTGGCAGTAATTCATGCATTGATGAGATTGACAAGAAATCTGTGTTTTTTATGATTAGTCCCTGTGAGAATAGAGAGAGGTAGTTGGGGTGACTGTGAATCCTTTAGAGGCGGTGATTGGTGTCATTGAGTGCAGAAATCACAAGAGCTCTGAATCCACCAATGTCTCACTCAGTACAACAGAAGTACTCAGAATGACTGTGCATTTTTTGCCGCATGTGTTTGCGATTAATGCAGATGTGAGGGTAGTATAGTCCAAGAGCGGGTGGGAGGAAGTGGTTGGGGGTGGGAGGGCCCCTTTTTTAACGACAGGGCGCCTGTTTAGGGGCTGCGTGGAGGCATGATGTGTCTGGGCAGCATCAGTTCCATCTCACGGTTAGAGGGGAATGTTTGGCAAGCACCAGGCTCTTTCCCTAAGGGCCCCTGTGGTCTCCTCTCTGTGGGAAAAACATAGCTCAACGAGAGCTTAGAGTGGTGCACAAAAAGCTCTGTTGGTAAATGTGTCTGAAGGTGAGGTTTAAGATTGCTTTTTTCTGATGAAAACTGTCAAGTTCACTTGTGCTATCGACCAATAGGAGCGGGGCGGATCCCAAACGCGACAGTCAAGGCCTCAGCTCAATGGAATCAGCTTGCTACAGTTAATGCTACCCATGTACAAACCACTATCTATTTCTATCTGCTCTCTCTCTCTCTCTCTATATCTCTCGCTCTATTCTCGCTATTAGCTATATCTATCTATGAACTCTCTCTCATCTATGATCTATCACTCTCTAGCTCTATTAATATATATCTGCTTCTATAAATTATCTATGCTCTTCTCTCTCTCGCTCTCTCTAGCTCTCTCTCTCTCGCTATTCTTCTTGTTCCTTCCCCCTTACCCGTTTTGCCGGGCCACCCCAAAAAAAGAAAAGGAACCCCGGGGAAAAAGAGCGAAACCCGGGGGAAAAAACCCCCAAAAAAACCCCCCCCCCCTTTTTTTTTTTAAAAAAAAAAAAAAAAAAAAAAAAAGTTTTTTTTTTTGTTTTTCCCCTTTTTCCCCCCCTTCCCTTTTTCCCCCCCCCTCTCCTCTTTCCCCTTTTTGTTTCCCCCCCCCCCCCCTTTTTCCTACTTTAAATTTAGGGCCAGCCCCCTTTTTCCACCTTTAAAAAAAATTTAAAAAAATTTTTAAAAAAAAAAAAATAAATTTAAAAAAAAAAAAAAAAAAAGGGGAAAGGGGAAAAAAAAAAAAAAAAAAAAAAGGGGAAAAAAAGAAAAAAAAAAAAAAAAAAAATAAATTTTAAAAAAAATTTTTTTTAAAAAAAAAATTTTTTTTTTTTTAATTTTAAGTTCCCTTTTTTTTTCTTTATTTGCTTTTTCCTTTTTTCCCTTTTGTTCCCTTTTATTTTTGGATTTTTTCCCTTTAAAAAAAAAAAAAAAGAATTTAAAAACCCTTTTTTTAAAAAAAAATGGAATTTAAAAGAAAAACTTTTAAAAAAAATTAAAATTTAAAATTAAAATAAATTTCTTCTCTTTTTAATATTTATCTTAAATTCTTCTGTTTTCCCCCCCTTTTTTCCCCTTCCCCTTTTTTTTCCCCCTCTTTTTCCCCCTCCTTTTTTCCCCAAAAATTTTTTCTAGTTTTTTTTTTGGTTTTTTTCCCCCTTTTTGCCCTTTCTCCCTTTAAAAAAAAATTTTTTTTTTTTTTTTTCTTTTTTTTGCTTTCTCCTCTTTTTCCCCTTTTAAATTAATAATTTTTCAAATTTAAAGGGGTTTTGGAGGGAAAAATTTTAACTTTAAAAATTTTAAAAAAAAAAAATTAAAAAAAAATTTTAAAAGTAAAACATTACATCAGAGGTTTTCTTTATCTCTCCCCTTTACTACCTCTTATTCTGGGGGGCCCCCCGCTTTTTGCTCCCCTTGCATAATCTTTTCTAAAAAGTTTCTTTTTTCCTTTGCTCCCGTATTCTCTCTTGTTCTTTTGATCTATCGTTTAAATTAGATCTTTAGTTTAACCCGCGTTTATCTCAAATCCTCTTTTTTGCCTATTTTTCTTTTCTGTTTCCCGTTCCGTTTTTTTTCCCTCTTATTTTTGTTTCCTCTCTCTCCCTTCTTCTCGCTTCTTCCTTGCATTTCTCTTCCTCTTACTCTATCTGCTCTCTCTCATATCTTCTCTTGCTCTATTGCCTCTCTCTTTTTTGTCTTATTTTCTCTCCTCTTCTATTGCTTTTCTTCTCTTTCGCTCTGCTCTCTCTTCTCTCTCTCTCCTCTTTTCTCTCTCTCGCTCTCTCCTTGTCTCTCTGCTCTCTCTCTCTCTGCTCTTATTTCTCCCCAATTTTAAAATTTCAATTTTAAATTTTAAAGGGGTTTTATTTGCATGGGAAACTTATGTTAAATTTTCCAAAGCAAAGTGAAGTAGATAGTAAACAAAAGTTAAATAAACAATAAATATTAACAGTAATCATTACACTAGAAAGTTCTCTCTCTCTGTATACATCTCTCTACTATCTCTCTATATATACCAGCTCTCTTTATATCTCTCTTCTATCTCTCTAATATTCTATACTATATCATATGAATATATCGTCCTACTTCGTCTAGCTATGATCTGAATATCTTATGTCTCTCTGGTGATCTTCTCTCATAGCTATACTATTATATGATCTTTTGATATATATATTTGCTCTCTCTATATACATGATCTATATCTCTATCTATGACTATATATCTGTCCTGATATATCTATACTGTCATTTATCTGATATATCTGATCATCTCTCCGCTCTTCTTATGTTATCTCTCTATATTTGCTACATCTCTATCTTCTGCTCTCTCTCTGCTATCGCTCTCATCTATTGCTCTTCTCTCTATGCTCTCTCTTGTCGTCTCTCTCTCGCTCTCTCTCTGTCTCTCTATCTGCTCTCTCCTATCTCTCTACAGAAGTTCTCTCTCTCTCTCTCTCTCTCTCTATCTCTCTCTATTCTCATCTCTTCTTCTGATCTCTCTGACTCTTCTCCTCTCTATCTCTCTGCTCTTCTCTGCTCTCTCTCTCTCTCTCTCTGCTCTCTCTCTCTCTCTCTCTCTGTTCTCTATCTATCTTTGCTCCCTGTCTCTCTCTCTCTGCTCTCATCTCTCTGCTCTCTCTCTGCACTCTCTCGCTCTCTCTCTCTATTGTCTATCTCTCTGTCTCTCTCTTCGCTACGCTTCTCTCTCTCTCTCACTCTATGTCTCTCTCTCTCTGCCTCTATCTGCTCTCTCTTGCTCTCTCTCGATCTCTCTCTCTCTCTCTGTTCTATCTCTCATCTTTGCTCTATCTCTCTCTCTCTCGATCTCTCTATTCGCCCTCTCTCTCTCTCTGCTCTCTATCTCTGCTCTCTATTACTATCTCTCTGCTCTCTCTCACTCTCTCTCTCTGCTCTCTCTCACTGCTCTCTCTCTTTTTGCTCTCTCTCTCTGCTCTCTCTCTCTCTGCTCTCTCTCTCTCTGCTCTCGCTCTCGCTCTCTCTCTCTCTTCGCTCTCTCTCTCTCTCTCGCTCTCTCTCTGTCTCTCTGCTCTCTCTCTCTCTGCTCTCTCTCTCTGCTCTCAATTTAAATTCAATTTTTCAATTTAAGGGTTTTATTTGCATGGGAAACTTATGTTAACATTGCCAAAGCAAGTGAAGTAGATAGTAAACAAAAGTTAAATAAACAATAAATATTAACAGTAATCATTACACTCAGAAGTTCTCTCTCTCTGCTCTCTCTCTCTCTGTCTCTCACTCTCTCTCTCTTTCTCGCTCTCTGTCTCTCTCTCTCTCTGCTCTCTCTCTGCACTCTCTCGCTCTCTCTCTCTGTCTCTCTCTCTGTCTCTCTCTCTCGCTCGCTCTCTCTCTCTCACTCTCTCTCAATTCAATTCAATTTCAATTATTTCTCTCTCTCTCTCTCTCTCCCTCTCTATCTCTCTCTCTCTCTCTCTCTCTCTCTCTCCCTCTCTATCTCGCTCTCTCAATTCAATTCAATGTCAATGTAAGGGCTTTATTGGCATGGGAAACATATGTTTACATTGCCAAAGCAAGTGAAATAGATAATAAACAAAAGTGAAATGAACAATACAACATTTACAGTAAACTTTACACTCCAAAAGTTCCAAAAGAATAAAGACATTTCAAGTGTCATATTATGTCTATATACAGTGTTGTAATGATGTGCAAATAGTTAAAGTACAGAAGGGAAAATAAATAAACATAAATATAGGTTGTATTTACAATGGTGTTTGTTCTTCACTGGTTGCCCTTTTCTTGTGGCAACATGTCACATATCTTGCTACTGTGGTATTTCACCCAATAGATATGGGAGTTGATCAAATTTGGATTTGTTTTCGAATTCTTTGTGGGTCTGTGTAATCTCAGGGAAATATGCGTCTCTAATATGGTCATACATTTGGCAGGAAGTTAGGAAGTGCAGCTCAGTTTCCACCTAATTTTGTGGGCAGTGTGCACATAGCCTGTCTTCTCTTGAGAGCCAGGTCTCTCTCAATAGCAAGGCTATGCTCACTGAGTCTGTACATAGTCAACGATTTCCTTAATTTTGGGTCAGTCACAGTGGTCAGGTATTCTGCCACGTAATGTGCCAAGTAATTATATTTTTGTTTTCTCATGATTTGGTTGGGTCTAATTATGTTGCTGTCCTGGGGCTCTGTGGGGTCTGTTTGTGTTTGTGAACAGAGCCCCAGGACCAGCTTGCTTATGGGGCTCTTCTCCAAGTTCATTTCTCTGTAGGTGATGGCTTTGTTATGGAAGGTTTGGGAATCAATTCCTTTTAGGTGGTTGTAGAATTTAACGGCTCTTTTCTGGATTTTGATAATTAGCGGGTATCGGCTTAATTCTGCTCTGCATGCATTATTAGGTGTTTTATGTTATACACTGAGGATATTTTTGCAGAATTCTGCATGTAGAGTCAATTTGGTGTTTGTCCCATTTTGTGAATTGTTGGTTGGTGAGCGGACCCCAGACCTCACAACCATAAAGGGCAATGGGTTCTATAACTGATTCAAGTATTTTTAGCCAGATCCTAATTGGTATGTCGAATTTTATGTTCCTTTTGATGGCATTGAAGGCCCTTCTTGCCTTGTCTCTCAGATCGTTCACAGCTTGTGGACGTTACCTGTGGTGCTGATGTTTAGGCCAAGGTATGTATAGTTTTTTGTGTGCTCTAGGGCAATGGTGTCTAGATGGAATTTGTATTTGTGGTCCTGGCAACTGGACCTTTTTTGGAACACCATTATTTTTGTCTTACTGAGATTTACTGTCAGGGCCCAGGTCTGACATAATCTGTGCAGAAGATCTAGGTGCTGCTGTAGGCCCTCCTTGGTTGGGGACAGAAGCACCAGATCATCAGCAAACAGTAAACATTTTACTTCAGATTTTAGTAGGGTGAGGCCAGGTGCTGCAGACTGTTCTAGTGCCCTCGCCAATTCGTTGATATATATGTTGAAGAGGGTGGGGCTTAAGCAGCATCCCTGTCTCACCCCCCGACCCTGTGGAAACAAATGTGCGTGTTTTTTGCCTATTTTAACCGCACACTTGTTGTTTGTGTACATGGATTTTATAATGTCATATGTTTTCCCCCCAACACCACTTTGGCCCTCATGCCAAATTGAGTCAAAAGCTTTTTTGAAATCAACAAACATGAGAAGACTTTGCCTTTGTTTTGTTTTGTTTGTTTGTCAATTAGGGTGTGCAGGGTGAATACGTGGTCTGTCGTACGGTAATTTGGTAAAAAGCCAATTTGACATTTGCTCAGTACATTGTTTTCACTGAGGAAATGTTTGAGTCTGCTGTTAATGATAATGCAGAGGATTTTCCCAAGGTTGCTGTTGATGCATATCCCACGGTAGTTATTGGGGTCAAATTTGTCTCCACTTTTGTGGATTGGGGTGATCTGTCCTTGGTTCCAAATATCGGGGAATATGCCAGAGCTGAGGATGACGTTAAAGAGTTTAAGTATAGCCAATTGGAATTTGTGGTCAGTATATTTTATCATTTCATTGTTAGGCTCAAGAGTTTTCATATACCTCTCACTTCACACTTCCGTGCTAATTGAAGTTGCAGCCAGTTCAGGTCAGTTCTTTCCTAGCAGCTTGGTAGCTTAGTAACCTTATTTATTAAGCTTTATATAACAAAATTACCTAGAGATTATTGTATTTTACTTTTTTGGTTCAGAAGTAGGTTCAGACTGAACATTACTCACTCAGCTTTGTGTTGGATGGTATTTCCAGGTTCCGCTGTGTTTCTTCTGCAGGTTTTGGTTTGTTATAAGTTTTTTTTCTTGATAGTCCTTGGTAGTAAAAGTCCATTCAGGTAATTTTGTACAAAATCAAGGTTTTAGGTATGGAAATTTGATTTGGATTGAAGGATTTGATGTTGAGGTTAGTATCCTGTATAAGTCCTTGCGAAAAAATTCAAGTTTATTGTCATTTATCTAACTCTAATTCTATCTTTTTGCAGAAGAACTCTGGAGCCCACGCTACCTCTCTCTCTCTCTCTCTCTCTCTCTCTCTCTCTCTCTCTCTCTCTCTCTCTCTCTCTCTCTCTCTCTCTCTCTCTCTAGGCATACAGACTTTCCCCCCCCTATACTAGCAGTTACATAAAAATTAATTTGCATTACATCAAGTAATGAAATCCTGGCTCTCACAAACTCTGTTATGGTCAAATTAGTTTCATAATTGTTAACTATTGATATACATTTTTGCATGTTGTTGTTTTTTATGCTTTATTTTTCAATGGGTGACAGGGATTATGTAATCAGATTACAAAAATTAAGTAACTGTAATCAGCCCGTTTGGAGTTATTTAATTGTTTAAGAAATTGTAATTGGATTACATACTTAAAAACAGCTTATTACATTTTGAATTACTTAATCTAAAATCAAAATGTGGGCTGCAAGTGTTTGCCTCAAACACACTGAAAGGATTTTGAGCATCTTTGAAAGCTATGTTGAGCCACACACCTTGAAAGTCACCTTAAGTGGAAATTGAAGCTTTCCCCTCGGTTCTAATCTATTTGATATCTAAAAAACGGCCAAATTTGCTCTCCTTGGTTGCTTTTAACAGAAAAGTATTTTAATTTAAAAAAGTCAGATCCCACTTTCACTGGGAACTGAAACATCAGGGTCTTTGTGTCAAAAGGACATTTTTGATTAGTCAACACAGCTCTAACTTTTTCACTTCCCAAGCACTTAGATGACCTTTAATCAGATTTATCTTGGATCCATCTCATCTGTTGCATTTCCTTTTTTACTGGCCATAATCTGCTTGGTGGCTGGGTGTATTTTTCAAGTAATTTGCCCAACCCTGAGTGTAGTTCTCTGTAGTGTGGATAGAATATACGTGTATCAGTATATAAAAACACTTTCCCTTTAGTGTAAACTAACGCTGTGATTTGACATTGTCCTCTACAGTGTTTTGTATTGATATGAGTGTATACTGTATCTCCATTATCAGGTGTTTCCGGGTTGCAAGTACCAATCTATGGCGTCCCTCAGCAGTGATGTGCCCATCCTAGCATGTGGCGGTCTGGCCAAGCGATGGTTGGTCCCTGGCTGGAGGATGGGCTGGATCCTCATCCATGACAGGAATCAAATCTTCGGAAAAGGGGTAAGTCCTTCAGCCTCTCACTAATTGCGTATGTAAGGTCCTGTTTATCTATACACAAACAGTACACTACACCAGTGTTCCCTAACTGGCGGCCCAAGGGTGATTTTATTTGGCCCCCAAAGTTTTCTGAGCAAATTCTATTTTTGTGTTTTGTATTTTATTCACATTTGAATGTTGGACGTAAAACACTGTAAAAACACCTGCAAATCAGCTCCAAGTGATTTTAATTTTGGAAATCTGTTCCAAAGTATTCCCACGCATAATAGAGAGATATACACTGAGTATACAAAACATTAAGAACACCTGCTCTTTCCATGACATAGACTGACCAGGTGAATCCAGGTGAAAGTTATGATCCCTTATTGATGTCACTTGTTAAATCCACTTCAATCAGTGTAGATGAAGGGGAGGACACAGGTTAAATAATGATTTTTAAGCCTTGAGACAATTGAGGTCTAGGTGCCAGGCGCACCGGTTTATGTCAAGAACTGCAATGCTGCTGGGTTTTTCAAGCTCAACAGTTTCCCGTGTGAATCAAGAATGGTCCACCAACCAAAGGACATCCAGCCAACTTGACATACAGTGCTATGAAAAAGTATTTGCCCCCTTTCTAATTTTCTCTACTTTTGCATATTTGTGATACTGAATGTTATCAGATCTTCAACCAAAACCTAATATTAGATAAAGGGAACATAAGTGAACAAATAACACAACAATTACATATTTATTTCATTTATTTCATAAACAAAGTTATGCAACACCCAATTCCCCTGTGTGAAAAAGTAATTGCCCCCTTAAATTCAATAACTTGTTGTGCCACCTTTAGCTGCAATGACTCCAACCAAATGCTTCCTGTAGTTGTTGATCAGTCTCTCACGTCGCTGTAGAGGAATTTTGGCCCACTCTTCCATGCAGAACTGCTTTAACTCAGTGACGTGTGGGTTTTCAAGCATGAACTGCTCGTTTCAAGTCCTGCCACAACATCTCAATTGGGATTGTCTTGCTGCATGACCCAGCTGCGCTTCAGCTTCAGCTCACAGACGGATGGTCTGACATTCTCCTGTAGAATTCTCTGATACAGAGCAGAATTCATGGTTCCTTCTATTAAGGCAAGTTGTTCCAGGTCCTGAGGCAGCAAAGCATCCCCAAACCATCACACCACCACCACCATGCTTGACCTTTGGTATGATGTTCTTACTGTGGAATGCAGAGTTTGGTTTTCGCCAGGCATTACTGGAACCATGTCGTCCAAAAAGTTATACTTTTGAATCATCTGTCCATAGAACGTTCTTCCAAGAGTCTTGATGATCATCCAGGTGCTTTTTGGAAAACCTGAGTCAACTTTTTGGACGAGATGGGTCCCATTATGCCTGGCGAAAACCAAACACTTCATTCCACAGTAAGAACATCATACCAAAGGTCAAGCATGGTGGTGGTGGTGTGATGGTTTGGGGATGCTTTGCTGCCTCAGGACCTGGACAACTGAAAACCCACACGTCACTGAGTTAAAGCAGTTCTGCATGGAAGAGTGGGCCAAAATTCCTCCACAGCGACGTGAGAGACTGATCAACAACTACAGGAAGCATTTGGTTGGAATCATTGCAGCTAAAGGTGGCACAACCAGTTATTGAGTGTAAGGGGGCAATTACTTTTTCACACAGGGGAATTGGGTGTTGCATAACTTTGTTTATGAAATAAATATGTAATTGTTGTGTTATTTGTTCACTTATGTTCCCTTTATCTAATATTAGGTTTTGGTTGAAGATCTGATAACATTCAGTATCACAAATATGCAAAAGTAGAGAAAATTAGAAAGGGGGCAAATACTTTTTCATAGCACTGTAACTGTGGGAAGCTTTGGAGTCGACATGGACCAGAATACCTGTGAAATGCTTTTGACACCCTGTAGAGTCCATGAAATTATTGTTTTAGTCAAATATTATATCTGTTTGGGCTTCTTGCGGTCAATTTGCAGTCTACAAATTATTTGGAATTATGTTCCGGCCCCCTGACCATCCACTCGAGAAAAATCGGCCTGCGTCTGAATCTAGTTGATGATACCTGCACTACACCAATACTCACACAGTAAGATGAATCTGTGCATGTCCTCTGGGGTTTGAATCACTTCTTATTTATCTAATCTGTCTCTCTTCTGCGTTTAGATTCGTCAGGGTTTGGTTAAACTTAGCCAGAGGATTCTGGGTGCCTGCACCATTGTCCAGGGGGCGATAGAGAGCATTCTGAACGACACGCCCCAGGAGTTTTACCACAGAACCATCAGTTTCCTCAAGGCGAGTCCCCCTCCCTTGAACCTTACCCAATTACTTTATATACAGATGATAGTAGTGTAACATATTGACTTATCTGGATATCTGTCTGTCTGACTGTCCTACTGACTTGTCTATTGACTGGTTTCCTGCTTCTTTCTCAGTCAAACTCAGAGATCTGTTTCTCTGAACTGTCCACTGTTCCTGGGCTGACCCCCGTGCTGCCATCAGGTGCCATGTACCTCATGGTGAGTCTCATGTGTCCAGAGCTGTAGGTGTGGAGTCGGTAGGTGGGGAGATAACAGAACAGACCAGGATACTTAGTGCGTGTCTTGGTATTTCTAGGTGGGGATTGAGATGGAACACTTCCCAGAGTTCCAGAATGATGTGCAGTTCACTGAGCGTCTGGTGACTGAGCAGTCCGTATTCTGCCTGCCTGCTACGGTAAAACATCACACACACACATCCATCCATCTATCCATCCATCTAATGGTCTCATCCATCCTTTTTGTCTACCATGGGTGGAGAAATGTCCTTGTTCTGTCTTTTACAACTCTCCTCTCCCTGCAGGCATTTGAGTACCCAAATTACTTCCGGATCGTGGTGACCGTACCAGAGGAGATGATGGTGGAGGCTTGTGCACGGATCCGGGAGTTTTGCCAGTGCCACTACAGACCCTGCAGCCAAGACAGCAACGAGCTGGACCAATGAGAGACAGCCTGAGAAAGGGGGAGACCAGAGAGTATAGACGCAGACATGGACAAACGTGAATGTGAAGAAAAGAGAACGGGAAGAGAGCGAGTGAAAGAAAGAAGAGAAACTAAGGAAGAGGAGTGAGAAGATTATGTTGCACTGCAGGAACAAAGGATTTAGCAATGTAATTGGTGGTCGTCCATCTTTGGTAAATCCAATGTATGAGCAGACCTGATATTTATATTTTGTATGGCTATTTTATGTTAACCTTACTTTGACTAATTATTTGACTTCATGGTTGTACCAATTCTCAAGGCTCCAGTGTTATTTTATATGTTGGGTTGACCAGAACACCATGGGGCTATAGAACCAGGGACCGGGGGTTTACCCCCCTCCTCCCCTTTGTTCAAACCATGATGGGGTTCATGGTTGGGTTGATCCTACCAGGAAAATATATGGAAATCAAGCACCAGCATGGATCAGATTACCTACAGTGCTTTTCATAGTCTGTGTTACATATTCTTTCTAGCATGTGTTAGGATTATGATGACATTCAGTGCAATCTGTTAGATTGCATGCTCAACCAAAACCTTTCCTATCTACTCGTTAATCTATCTTCATGTAATATTGAATGTTTTTGTTTTTACTTTTGTGTAAAAAACGTTATTTAAACCAAAGTAAAGCTATGAAATACCTGTTTGTTTGTTGTGACTCATTAGCTCATGGTAATATAAAAACTAAATCAAAGGATTGATCCACTCATGATTGATTATACAGTTTGTTATTGAGGCCTACACCAAATCCAGACATTGGGATTTGACCTGTGTTGACCTGTCCATCAGTAAAGTTATGTAACAGTTTAAGGGTTGAATGGTGTGTCCAATCAGTACAGAATGGGGGTGCGCATGGTTAGGGTTTCGTTCACTGGTCCTTTGTATTTGACACGCCTGCATGTACCCAGTGTTCATGATCAGGTGTAAATCTTCAAAAGACTTCAAGAGAATTAAAACATTAAAACGTGAACACGATATTGAACGATTTCAGTCTTGAGCTGTTGTCATTTCATACTTCATGTATAATGTTTTGTAAATGCTTTATGTCCGTTTATTCAGTACACTTATAGATTTTCTGCCAGAAATGTATCTTATACTAAAATGTTATATACCCCCTAGAAACATCTTGAATCACCTTCAGTTTCAAAGCGCTATGAAGGCTCTCTTGGTTTTAAAGAAAACAAACATCCTCACAAATAATAAATATTACATTGGACTACTTCCCCTCTTACTACACGCAGATACATTTGTCAGTTTGACTATCTGTACTGTAGATACACTTCTGGTTCAATGTTCTGCTTCTCAAGCTTATTGTAAAAAATGAAAAGTTGGTGTGATGACTAACTAGCATGAAATCATTCATTGCTGATACTATAGCGCAGCCTACTGTTGGATATATGTATTGCAGTCTGGGACCTTCCTGAGCAGATTCAACATGGTCATATTATTTGTCCTACATCCAAGACTTGCATACCTGAATGTATTTGCATTGCATTACCAAACACTTTAAATTGAATCTACACTATTGTACAATATCACAGCTATATCTCACAGTGACCTGCAGCAGGCCTATGTAATCTCACACCTTTCCTACCACATATTGATTGGGCATGAGGACCCTGTAGTCCAGGTCTACAGTATTTCCCCTCTGAAGAAAGTGTCCTTTAGGACATTCTCCTTCATCCCCTGAGTCTTTACAACAGCCCTCATTTACTGAGTGTACACTTCTTACATAGTTAAATGATTAACTAGAAAGATAAGGAGGCAAGAGAAACAAGTCTCTGAGTGACCTGCAGCTGGATTTCCCTGTAGGAGAGATTACAGGACTCTGAGTGACCTGCAGCTGGATTTCCCTGTAGGAGGGATTACAGGACTCTGAGTGACCTGCAGCTGGACTTCCCTGTAGGAGGGATTACAGGACTCTGAGTGACCTGCAGCTGGATTTCCCTGTAGGAGGGATTACAGGACTCTGAGTGACCTGCAGCTGGACTTCCCTGTAGGAGGGATTACAGGACTCTGAGTGACCTGCAGCTGGACTTCCCTGTAGGAGGGATTACAGGACTCTGAGTGACCTGCAGCTGGACTTCCCTGTAGGAGGGATTACAGGACTCTGAGTGACCTGCAGCTGGATTTCCCTGTAGGAGGGATTACAGGACTCTGAGTGACCTGCAGCTGGACTTCCCTGTAGGAGAGATTACAGGACTCTGAGTGACCTGCAGCTGGACTTCCCTGTAGGAGGGATTACAGGACTCTGAGTGACCTGCAGCTGGACTTCCCTGTAGGAGGGATTACAGGACTCTGAGTGACCTGCAGCTGGACTTCCCTGTAGGAGGGATTACAGGACTCTGAGTGACCTGCAGCTGGACTTCCCTGTAGGAGGGATTACAGGACTCTGAGTGACCTGCAGCTGGACTTCCCTGTAGGAGGGATTACAGGACTCTGAGTGACCTGCAGCTGGACTTCCCTGTAGGAGGGATTACAGGACTCTGAGTGACCTGCAGCTGGATTTCCCTGTAGGAGGGATTACAGGACTCTGAGTGACCTGCAGCTGGACTTCCCTGTAGGAGAGATTACAGGACTCTGAGTGACCTGCAGCTGGACTTCCCTGTAGGAGGGATTACAGGACTCTGAGTGACCTGCAGCTGGACTTCCCTGTAGGAGGGATTACAGGACTCTGAGTGACCTGCAGCTGGACTTCCCTGTAGGAGGGATTACAGGACTCTGAGTGACCTGCAGCTGGATTTCCCTGTAGGAGGGATTACAGGACTCTGAGTGACCTGCAGCTGGACTTCCCTGTAGGAGGGATTACAGGACTCTGAGTGACCTGCAGCTGGACTTCCCTGTAGGAGGGATTACAGGACTCTGAGTGACCTGCAGCTGGACTTCCCTGTAGGAGGGATTACAGGACATTTACATTTCAGCAGACACTCTTATCCAGAGCAATTTACAGTAGCAAGTGAGTGCATACATTTTAATACTGGTCCCCCATAGGAATCGAACCCACATCCCTGGTGCTTGCCATGCTCTACCAACTGAGCTACACAGGACTACATACACATAGACACTGGTAGAAATATCCACATGGATGATACAGGGACTAATGGTCTCTACTGATACCGTTCTTGACATTTCAATAACAAATCTCTGTGTGCGTTCACATTTCTTTTAAATTCTTTCTAGAAAGTGTATGATGAGCTCTTCCCTGTGACAGGTGAAGAAATGCTCACCACTGACATTGACTATCTGGACGTGTGGAAGGTTAACTGTGTTTATGCATAGTTGCTACATGTGTAAATGGGTGTGTGTTTACTGTGCTGAAAGAGTGTGTGGGTGGTAATGGGTCAGAGGGGAGGAGACAAGAATGGACAACAACAGCCGAAAGAGCGTTCTGACAGCTCTGTCATCATCTCTCTCTCCTCTCCTGCAGGTGGCGCTGCATCCCTATCTGGTCCAATCTGACCTGGTGGATTTCTGCAAGTCTCGCAACATCACCCTCACTGCCTACAGCCCCTTTGGTTCCCCTAACAGCGTTTCCCAAACTCGTTCCTGGGGACCCCAAGGGGTGCACGTTTTGGTTTTTGCCCTAGCACTACACAGCTGATTCAAATAATTAAAGCTTGATAATGAGTTGATTATTTGAATCAGCTATGTAGTGCTAGGGCAAAAACCAAAACGTGCACCTCTTGGGGTCCCCAGGACCGGGTTTGGGAAACATTGCCCTAGAAGACCCAAAGACCTGTGAGTGCTCCTGACAATAACATGTATAGGGGAGAGTGTGGTAAATTGAGCCATTTTTTACATTCAGCATCACTCCTTCAAGGGAAATATAGTATTCTGTCTAACAAAGATATCTACATATTCTTCAAGATGTTGTTATCCCTGGAAATAATCAGAATTCATGTAAACATTTGTTTTCAAATCAAATCAAATCAAATTTTATTGGCCACATGCGCCGAATACAACAGGTGTAGACATTACAGTGAAATGCTTACTTACAGCCCTTAACCAACAATGCATTTATTTTTTAATAAAAAAGTAAAATAAAACAACAACAAAAAAGTGTTGAGAAAAAAAGAGCAGAAGTCAAATAAAATAACAGTAGGGAGGCTATATATACAGGGGGGTACCGGTGCAGAGTCAATGTGTGGGGGCACAGCTAGTTGAGGTAGTTGAGGTAATATGTACATGTGGGTAGAGTTAAAGTGACTATGCATAAATAATTAACAGAGTAGCAGCAGCGTAAAAATATGGGGTGGGGGTGGGGGGGGGCAGTGTAAATAGTCCGGGTAGCCATGATTAGCTGTTCAGAAGTCTTATGGCTTAGGGGTAGAAGCTGTTGAGAAGTCTTTTGGACCTAGACTTGGCACTCCGGTACCGCTTGCCGTGCGGTAGCAGAGAGAACAGTCTATGACTAGGGTGGCTGGAGTCTTTGACAATTTTTAGGGCCTTCCTCTGACACCGCCTGGTATAGAGGTCCTGGATGGCAGGAAGCTTGGCCCCAGTGATGTACTGGGCCGTACACACTACCCTCTGTAGTGCCTTGCGGTCAGAGGCCGAGCAATTGCCATACCAGGCGGTGATGCAACCAGTCAGGATGCTCTCGATGGTGCAGCTATAGAGTTTTTTGAGGATCTGAGGACCCATGCCAAATCTTTTCAGTCTCCTGAGGGGGAATAGGCTTTGTCGTGCCCTCTTCACGACTGTCTTGGTGTGTTTGGACCATGATAGTTCGTTCCACTACAGCCCCGTCGATGAGAATGAAAACATAGCTTGTCCAAAAAAAGTGGTCTCTTGGCACAACCTACTCCAGGTATGGAGTAAGTTGAGCCGCGGGACAAGTTAAGACGCCTACAAATTTCTGTACTGAATGAAATATTACCACTTTTTTTTTTTTAAACCATTCTATCTTTATTTCCCAAACACAATTCAACACAATCACAGTCATTTTTTTGTCTTTTAATCATTTTAAGCATATTTTAACACAGGCTTAACACTTACAAACACTTTGTACTTAAAAAAAAAACACTTTTAACATATCCCAGCGATAATGCCTTGCATTACACCTGGGAAGAAATCACTTCAATTGGCTCAACTTACCCCAAGGCAAACATTTTGACTATATTAGCCAACACAGCTACAAGGATGCACTTCCTTGCTAGGTTTAGGACCTTATATTGATGTATAGAACAGTCTTAAAACAATCTACTTTGGTTTAGATACAAGCATCATGAAACCTCTTAACACAATAATTAATTTGACTTGGTGAAAATCTGTTTTTTTGACCTAACTTGCTTACCACTTATTCCATGTGGTTTCTTCATTCAAATGATGACCTCTTCTTAAATATTTGGTCAAATGATACACTTTGTGTATGGTTTTCTAGAAACAAGGGAGGCTCAACTTACCCCACTCTCCCCTACAGTAGCACCTGCACTATATGACTCTGTCCTGCACTTTTGACACTCAGTAAATAACTCTCTCTACGTTACAAAAGTTGAACGTGCTAAGAAGCACCGATGGAGCCCTGCTCAGGTTAGAATAGAGAGTTCCGGTAGAAACACACATGTATGTGTCTCAGCTGTGTGTCCATCTCAGATCTGTCTTCAGGGAGTGAGTGTGTGTGAGAGAGTGTGAATGAACATCTGAACTCTGGATCTAAGGACTGTATGTGTGTGTGTTGTTTCAGGTGCTGCTGAGGTATCATGTGCAGCAGGGTATTGCACTGATCCCCAAGAGTGTCAAACCCAACCACATTCTGGAAAACACTAAGGTGAACTTTCTCTAACCCAATATATATTATATTTCCTTATTTGACCTACATATGGTTCTTGCTGAATCATACTATGAGTTCATATCAAGTTCAATTTGAGCAATATGACTGACTAAATTAGGAATCAGTCTTAGTGCTATAGTTTTATCAATGTCAGGTCAATGTCTTGGTATGCCAATATAGTTATTAACTGAACTTTTACACACATTACTATCTCACTAAAATAAATCTACGGAGATGTATTCATTCTGACAATAACTGAAAAATGGTGCAGTGAGAACTCAAATGGGAAGTGTGTCATCTGCAGATCTTTGACTTCTGAGTGAGGAGGACATGTCAGCACAGAGGACTGGATCGAGGCTGGAAGTCCTGCATCAGACTCGTAAGACAGGGTTCACCCTTCCTTATACAAATACTTAACACTCTTCTATACATCAATAACTCCATGTAGAGAACAACTGCTCCTAACCTGACATAATGCTATGTTTCTGTTCTTCAGATTGAAGTCTCATCCATACTAATGAGTCCCTGAGGATCAGTGAGTTGAGACAGAAATAAGATAACTGCTTCTCAACCTGATGTTAACAAGGACATATTACTATCCACCTCCTCATCAACATCAGCAGCATAAGCCTGCAAATGGTCTTTACCTATAAAGTGAAACTATGATAAATGAAAATGTAGCACTGAAGGTAAATAATGGATGTTGTTTTTTTGCTGGCTTGATTTGAATAAATGTGCCAACACTGCCCTTTCTGCCTGATTCTGATGGAACTCAATATTACTTAATTCATAACTCAAACAAAACATTTAGGTTAAAACACATAGATGATGCTTTAATTGTAATACCAAGCACATCAAAGACAAACGTTTTCACAGTCCCCAGGGTTAGGCATGTTGGAAGCCTTCACAAACCAGCTGATACAGAACCAGTCCTATTGTGAGCTTTTGTGCTTTTAGAGATGATATAATACGTAATCCACTGACAGTTCCATTGGTAGTTACACAGCTCTTTTCACCCCCTCCATCCCCTGCAGTCCTCTGTCTCCTCTTTAGTTGGGGTGGGTGGGGTGATGCCTGCATTTTCCCTTGTTTCCTGCCCTCTTCCTGTCTGGACTTCAGGGCTGGGGTCTCACTGAGCACACACAGGCTGAAGCCCCTGCGATGCGTTTGGGCAGGTCTGGGCCCCGCACCCACTGGCCCTTGTCAGGGTCAAACACCTGTGTGGCCTGTGAGAACACCATGCTCTCCCAGCTGTAGCCCCCCAGCACATAGATCTTACCCCCCCAGACCCCACAGCCCGCCTCACTGTTAGGCTGGAGGAGGGAGGCTATACGGGTCCACTGTTCACTTTGGGGGTCAAATGCCTCCACCGCCAGGATGTCAAAGCGATCTATGCTCTCCTCGTGGTCATCACTGCCCCCGATTGCATAGATGAGGTGGTGAAGTGACGTCATGCAGTGCCACCCCCGTGCCGATGACATTGCCTGGCGCTCCACCCAGACGTCTCCTCCTCGGGGGTCGTAGCTCAACACGTCTCGCCGGTAAGGCCCGATCTGGTAGTCATGGCCACCTGAGATGTAGACCACTCCTTTATCAGATGTACCTGCATGGCCATATGTGAACCTGCAGAGACATGGAGAAGAGAGGGACAGGTGAGAGAAAGGGCTTTGATGTGAGCTGTGCCAGTCTGCCGGCTAAGAAGGCATAATAGTTATATTAGGTCTATTGCGAACCGTGACATAACATAGAGCTGTCCCCAGAGGCAGAGTGTTGTTCTCATTACTCTGTTGTCTTGCTGCTTAACGGGTGGAATTAATATCAGAGAGACAGGAGTTCAGGTAACCCTTTGGGAGACCATTATAGAGGAATAGTGTCAGTTCGCACCTGGGCAGTCCTGCGACGTATGTCCAGCAGTCGTTTGTAGGGCTGTACACCTCCACTGACGACAAAGCCCCGTTATCATTACGCCCTCCCACAGCGATCAGACACTCCCCAACGGCTCCCAGGTAGAAATCCACACGGCGCTGGTTCATTGGGGCACTCTAGAGTAAAGATGACACATAATTGGAGACATTTTGAAAATGTTAGGTTGGGTTTCACCAGAACTGGGATTTGAATGGAGATCTCAGAAAGTAACTACTTTTTAAAACCATTTGAATACAGATCTGAGAAAGCAACTACTTTTTAAAAGTATTTGAATACAGATCTCAGGAAGTGACTACTTTTCAGAAACTATTGGATTGGCTGCCTTCAACTAATGGCAGGGTTGTATCTGAAAGCTGTATCTGGAACTGCATGTTGAAGATAAAAATCGAAAGAATAAAACACAAATCTCCTATATTATTCCAATCTACCTGACAGTCATATTTGATCTAAACAAAACATTTCTATCTGAACATTCTGTAAAATGTCCATTCCCCTGAATGGCCATTTTCTCAGATGTACAGTGAGGGAAAAAAGTATTTGATCCCCTGTTGATTTTGTACGTTTGCCCACTGACAAAGACTTGATCAGTCTATAATTTTAATGGTAGGTTTATTTCAACAGTGAGAGACAGAATAACAAAAAAAATCCAGAAAAACGCATGTCAAAAATGTTATAAATTGATTTGCATTTTAATGAGGGAAATAAGTATTTGACCTCTCTGCAAAACATGACTTAGTACTTGGTGGCAAAACACTTGTTGGCAATCACAGAGGTCAGACGTTTCTTGTAGTTGGCCACCAGGTTTGCACACATCTCAGGAGGGATTTTGTCCCACTCCTCTTTGCAGATCTTCTCCAAGTCATTAAGGTTTCGAGGCTGACGTTTGGCAACTCGAACCTTCAGCTCCCTCCACAGATTTTCTATGGGATTAAGGTCTGGAGACTGGCTAGGCCACTCCAGGACCTTAATGTGCTTATTCTTGAGCCACTCCTTTGTTGCCTTGGCCGTGTGTTTTGGATCATTGTCATGCTGGAATACACATCCACAACCCATTTTCAACACCCTGGCTGAGGGAAGGAGGTTCTCACCCAAGATTTGACGGTACATGGCCCCGTCCATCGTCCCTTTGATGCGGTGAAGTTGTCCTGTCCCCTTAGCAGAAAAACACCCCCAAAGCATAATGTTTCCACCTCAAAGTTTGACGGTGGGGATGGTGTTCTTGAGGTCATAGGCAGCATTCCTCCTCCTCCAAACACGGCGAGTTGAGTTGATGGCAAAGAGCTCGATTTTGGTCTCATCTGACCACAACACTTTCACCCAGTTCTCCTCTGAATCATTCAGATGTTCATTGGCAAACTTCAGACGGGCCTGTATATGTGCTTTCTTGAGCAAGGGGACCTTGCGGGCGCTGCAGGATTTCAGTCCTTCACGGCGTAGTGTGTTACCAATTGTTTTCTTGGTGACTATGGTCCCAGATGCCTTGAGATCTTTGACAAGATCCTCCCGTGTAGTTCTGGGCTGATTCCTCACCGTTCTCATGATCAATGCAACTCCACGAGGTGAGATCTTGCATGGAGCCCCAGGCCGAGGGAGATTGACAGTGCTTTTGTGTTTCTTCCATTTGCGAATAATCACACCAACTGTTGTCACCTTCTCAACAAGCTGCTTGGCGATGGTCTTGTAGCCCATTCCAGCCTTGTGTAGGTCTACAATCTTGTCCCTGACATCCTTGGAGAGCTCTTTGGTCTTGGCCATGGTGGAGAGTTTGGAATCTGATTGATTGATTGCTTCTGTGGACAGGTGTCTTTTAAACAGGTAACAAACTGAGATTAGGAGCACTCCCTTTAAGAGTGTGCTCCTAATCTCAGCTCGTTACCTGTATAAAAGACACCTGGGAGCCAGAAATCTTTCTGATTGAGAGGGGGTCAAATACTTATTTCCCTCATTAAAATGCAAATTAACTTATAACATTTTTGACATGCGTTTTTCTGGATTTTTTTGTTGTTATTCTGTCTCTCACTGTTCAAATAAACCTACCATTAAAATTATAGACTGATCATGTCTTTGTCAGTGGGCAAACGTACAAAATCAGCAGGGGATCAAATACTTTTTTCCCTCACTGTACATAATCAATCAAACAAAAACCAATTATGTTTTGTACAGATACAAAATAAATATGTTGTGATGCTCAACTACTGTATGAGTCTTTCAACATGCCACTGAAAAGGTGGAAAACTGCAATTCATTATATAATACCGCAGAGAAATTCAAAGCCGTTAGCAAACATTGCAAACAGCAAGTTGGATGCCTAGCAAAAACAACTTCGAAACTCTGTCCATTTGAGGGGAAGTGTTCTTGTTTCAAACACACTACATCTTTAAAAAGGGATAGTTTACTCCAAATACAAACTAACATGATTTTCCACCTTCTTTGGCTGTAGTTGATTCAAGACGGCAGTTTTTGGATATTTAGTTTCCTTTCGACACACAGCCATATTTTGTTACCGTTAGCATTCTCAGTAACACTTAACATTAAACTGTTCTTGTGCTTGTGTAATAAAACTGTAATTACTTTTGGATAAATGTTATTAGCATGTTGTTACATAATACTTTGGTAATTGCATTTTAATTGCATGGCAATGAGCTGACAGTTTTTGTAACTACTGTACACAAGTGGAATAGTCACTGTTCCTTACTACATATGTAATAACTCCATTATTATGCAATTATAAAGCAATTTACAAAGTCCTATGTAACAATGTTGCTATTGTAATAGTCAAAGTTACTACACATGTATAATAACTTGATGTAAAGTGTTACTGTATTACCTCTTCACTCATAATTAAAATATATTTGTTAGTCATTTTGTAAGCTGCAAAAGTGGTCTACTTTAATGTTGAGGTGATTCCATGTCCCTCAGGTATTTAATTATAGGCTATATTAAGATCCATATTTGAGAGCCCTCCAAACCATGTGCTAATGATAATATATTTAGACTAATTCAACAAACCAACTCGTTTTTGGTTCTTCATAAAATATTTGGCAGCCATCAAATAAATATATTTTTGGTTTTCGAATAACTTGCATGTATTCAAATACCTTCAAATATTATTATTTGTTTTTCTGAGACCTGTATTTAAATATCAAAGAAAATGGCTGCTTTTTAGTTGAAACTCTATTTTAAAAAAATATATATATATATATACACGACTACCCTGAGTATTTGAAAAGTTGGTATTTTCAAATAAACTACAAAATACAACTATTTTTTGCCCAGGTCTGGGTTGCACTCTGAAGTTAAGTTGGGTTGCACTGTGAGAGCAGGGCTTTACCACAGATGGAAGAAGGAGACAGATCTCCTCTCACAGGATGTATACATCTGAAGCATCTGTTTAGAACTTCTTCTCACCAGGAAGTCCAGTGGTGAGAAATGGGAGAAGATGGAGCTAGATGCAGCTTGGCCGACATTCTGCTAATGGTCTCATCGATGAAACATTTGATCTCAATAACATTTTCTGTTCCCCAAACTAGAATCTGTTACGAACAGAGCGCACTAAGTTTTGTATACTTGACTCTTTCTAAATGTTTCAAAAAATCGCATTGTTTAGGAGTGCAAGGGCGAATTGAGTTATTGCACACACACAATTCACACAGTAAGCATTCCCCAACAGAAATCAGTCAATTGAAATAAATTAATTAGGCCCTAATCTATGGATTTCACATGACTGGAAATACAGCTATGCATCTGTTGGTCACAGATACCTTTTTTAAAGGTAGGGCGTGTATCAGAAAGTCAGTATCTGGTGTGACCACCATTTGCCTCATGCAGCACGACACATCTCTGTCGCATAGAGTTGATCAGGCTGTTCATTGTGGCCTGTGGAATGTTGTCCAACTCCTCTTCAATGGCTGTCCGAATTTGCTGGATATTGATGGGAACTGGAACACGCTGTCGTACACATCAATCCAGAGCATTCCAAACATGCTCAATGGGTGACATATCTGGTGAGTATACAGGCCATGGAAGAACTGGGGCATTTTCAGCTTCCAGGAATTGTGTACAGATCCTTGCGACATGGGGCCATGTATTATCATGCTGAAACATGAGGTCATGGCAGTGAATGAATGGCACGACAATGGGCCTCAGGATTTTGTCACGGTATCTCTGCTCATTCAAATTGCCATCAATAAAATGCAATTGTGTTTGTTGTCCGTAGCTTATGCCTGCCCATACTAGAACCCCACTGCCACAATGAGGCACTCTGTTCACAACATTGACATCAGCAAACCACTCCCCCACACAACGCCATACACGCTGTCTGCCATCTGCCCGGTACAGTTGAAACCGGGATTCATCTGTGAAGAAGAGCACACTTCTCCAGCGTGCCAGTGGCCATCAAAGGTGAACATTTGCCCACTGAAGTCAGTTATGACGCCAACTGAAGTCAGGCCAAGACCCTGGTGAGGACGATGAGCACGCAGATGAGCTTCCCTGAGACGTTTTCTGACAGTTTTTGCAGAAATTCTTCGGTTGTGCAAACCCACAGTTTCATCAGCTGTCCGGGTGGCTGGTCTCAGACGATCCCGCAGGTGAAGAAGCGGGACATGGAGGTCCTGGGCTGGCGTGGTTACACGTGGTCTGCGGTTGTGAGGCTGGTTGGACGTACTGCTAAATTCTCTAAAACGACGTTGGAGGCGGCTTATGGTAGAGAAATTAACATTCAATTATTTTGCAACAGCTTTGGTGGACATTCCTACAGTCAGCATGCCTATTGCACGCTCCCTCAAAACATGAGACATCTGTGGCATTGTGTTATGCGACAAAACTGCACATTTTAGAGTGGCCTTTTATTGTTCCCAGCACAAGGTGCACAGGTGTAATGATCATGCTGTTTACTCAGCTTCTTGATAAACCACACCTGTCAGGTGGATGGATTATCTTGACAAAGGGGAAATGCTCACTAACAGGGATGTAAACAAATTTGTGCACAAACATTTAGAGAAATAAGCTGTTTGTGCATTTATAACATTTCTGGGATCTTTTATTTCAGCTCATGAACCATGGGACCAACACTTAACATGTTGCATTTATATTTTTGTTCAGTGTACATGCAAGAAGGCGCCAATAGGATCTCGCCAACTCGTGCTTGGCTCTGCCCACCTCCTTCCTTGTTCTGCCCACTATGCTTAATTTGCTCTAATTGGAAATGATGCAGATGAGATATTTTAGTTAGTTACCAGTATCTTTGGCTTTACCTTGATCCACTGGTTGTCGCGGGGGTTGTAGCGGTACAGCAGGTTGCTGGCAGCATCACCTCCATTATCACGTGATGAGCTGCCTCCAGCGGTGAAGATGAACCCCCCCAGTACAGCGACACAGTGGTGGCTCCTCTGTGCCGGGATCTGGGTCTCCACCATCCACCCACCAGAGTCTCCATCCAACCAGCGAACATCTGCAGTCAGCTCCTCCCCGCGCTCTGACACCTCCCCACCCACCAGTAGGAGGCGCTCCTCCCCTCCCCGCAGCATGGTGCGGCCTGTCTGCAGCACGGGCTGGGCGCTGGCCCTGGTGTGGTAGTTCAGAGCCTCCTCCACCAGCACCTCACAGCCGGCCTCGGGGGGCAGCAGGGTCTGTACAGCCGGGAGGACGCGCCCCACCAGGTCACTGGCTGGCATTAGGGGGAAGCGTATGTTGGAGAGCAGCTGGTGGGCGTGTGCAGGGCGGTCAGGCATGTGGCTCAGCCACTGGAGAGCAGCCTGGAGCAGAGCCTGCTCATTCTCGTGCTGGACCTGCCCGCTGGCCAGGTATGAGCTGAGCTTGGGAAGCCGGACATCCCTCAGGAAGCCCGGGGTGAAGGACAGGGTTGCGAAGCGTTCCAGGATGAAGTGGTCGATGTAGGCGTCTAGTCTCTCCAGGCTGTAGAGCAGAGCCAGCTCCTGCAGGTAGAGGTAGTTCTCCTCACTCACCTCCTTCTCTAGGTACTGGCAGCAGAAGTCCACTGCCCTCCACACCTGCAGCAGGTGGGCCGTCTCCAGAACATAGTCAATGTTCCCTCCATCCAGCGGCAGCTCCCCACTGTAGAGGAAGTCCACCACAGCCTTAAGGCCGATGTAGGAGGCCCCCACCAGCTCCACCTCTGCCTGACGCTCCTCCCTCATGCCCAGGGTGAACATGGCCTGGAAGTAAGGGCTGGAGACGGCCAGCAGGGCGCGATGGGCTGGGATACGCTGCTCATCAGCCACCAGCACCATGTCACACAGCTGGCCGTGCTGACGCTGCTCATTCAGACCCTGCAGGAGGAAGTCAGCCTGCTCCGCCCAACGATACACCTGAGACACAGAGCAACAGGTAATATTAAACGAAAAGTTATACTTACTTGAAGGAAGTTGGTCAGTTAAGACAAAACTAACACTGTAGCTAGATAGGTCACATGATGCAACTAACCTTGGATGACTCAATTATCTGTTGAGGCCGTGAAACACGGCTTTGTCTTCCATTATCCATTGTGTTCTCTCAATCCAACACTATCTGAAAGACAGTGAAATTTGATGACGAATCGATATAATTCAGAGAAACCACAAGTGGCGTCACATAACTTGGACAACAGACTAACTTTCGGGTTGCTTGTCAAGAAAATTAGACTGACATCATGCCACAAGGTATCACCTCACTTTGGCGTCTCAGGGGAGGACGCTGGGAGATGTTGGCTTCTTGTTACATTGTAGCAGCTTTTCAACAGCAACTTTGAGATCCAACAGTAGGCTATATGTAAGCAAGCAACGATCTACACGAGACGGTCTTATGTTCGACAACAAAATTTACCGAGCGAGAATAAAACAACAGTGTTTAAATATTGCACAGCATCACCCGTTGTTACAGCTTGCTTGAATCAAAAGCTGTTTTAAAATGTATTATTTAGTTGTTTAGTCGCAGCCATGATCTCATCCAGGAAGTAGCCGTAGACTGTCTGTGAATCTAACCAATCACAGGGCGAGTGCATGGGGCCCACTTACCATGCACTGCTGAAAACGTAAAGCTATTGAACGCAGATTTAAAAGGTTAGTTTGCGCATTGCACTGCTAAAAGTGTTTATCCCCGCAGTCAAATCCCTCAGTGTAGAAACGTTTAGTTTAGATGCACCATTTTGATGCCTTTTCCAACTAATCCTTATGTGACAAGTGATTTTATTCTATATGTTGTGGGCTCATCAATTAATGGAGGGATTTGGTCATGCGGGTCCATTCTGGGGGTCTAGGGTGTAACCCAGGTCCTTGAGAATAGCAGATTTATATGAGACAGCCATTGTAAAATGACTGTCTAACGAGCCTATCACGCGCACACACACACTCACTCTCTCTCTCTCTCCCCCTCTTTGTCCCTCATATAGCTTGAAAGAAATTACCTCTATCTCTGTGTGTTCTAGGCCTACTATGGTTTATTATTTTATTATATAATTTTATTTAATTACATTTAATTAAATGTATTATCGGAACGTTTAATTTTGGTTATTGATTGTGGCGCTGTTTGCAGCAGGCTATTGTTCTCATGCATCAATCACATTAACAGACCACAAGATGGCAGGATAGCGCAGTAAAACGGCAACAATAGAAAGGGTGGATTTATTTGACTGAATCTCTCAGTTGACCATTGGGAGGAGGTGAATCCTGCGTCTGGGGACTTCGCCGCTCTAGTACGGCAACCTGATTGACAAACATCACCAACGCCCATAAACTGGATATAGGAATGAGTCGAGTCGTGAAAAGAGTCTATTTCTTAGATAATTGAGAAAAGATACACCCTTTTCTGCGCACTCCTCGTGTAATAGCGCTTGTTCGACTGTTCAATAGGGACGAGTGATTTCAGACTATTGAACTCTCGTTCTGCTCCTTTTGGATTTTGGATTGTTCTTTTCGCCGTGTGCTTTCTTTCATCTCTAGGCTACTGTCCATTTGCGTCCATCCAAAATGGCAACAAGAATCGATAAAGAGGCTTGCAGGGAAGCTTATAACCTCGTCAGAGACGATAACACGGAGATAAACTGGTGAGTGTGTTTAAATTAGTTGTGCATAGGCAATTGTGGGCATCTGAGATTTTACACAGCATCCTAAGAATGTAGTTGAGTCTGCATTTATAAAATCCACAGCAATGGGTGGATGATCAGTGTGCACTTATCATTCATTTACCTAGTGTTTCATTTGAATCATTGTTTCTCTCCTCCCTAAAAAATATCTCTCTTAGTCATGCCCCGGTACCCTGAATTATTAGACTAACTTCCTTTGTCTATCCAAGAGGTACAGTGATAGTGACCCGCATTTGACACATCGGTTTTTGAATGAATAGCCTACTTTAGCCTGGTCACTACATTGTAGTCGCATCCGATAGATGTCTGATGATGGACGTGGACACGCATTAGTGGAGTAGAGTGGCATGGAGGATCACTGATCTTTTTGACAGACAGGGCCCAAATATTCAATTTGACATGGCTGTAAGGTCAGTGCATTTTAATTATTTAATGTATTGTGCATTTTATGTTGTTTTAGGGCAGCGTTTAAATATGAGGGCCATATGATTGTGCCGGCGGGCCAGGGGACAGATTATGAAGAATTCAAGAGTCAGTGCACAGGTAAGGCCAGGATTTCATTCATTTTTGTGCCTATGCGGTTATTTCAAATTGACCACAATGTTCCTGCATAACGGCAACAGCGCTGTAATACAGACCACACACAACATTTTAACGACTTTTACGGGCTACACGCTTCAGCACTCGCGGTCCTGTTCTGTGAGCTTGTGTGGCCTACCACTTTGCGGCTGGGCAGTTGTTGCTCCTAGACGTTTCCACTTCACAATAACAGCACTTACAGTTGATTGGGGCAGCTCTAGCAGGGCAGAAATTTGACAAACTGACTTGTTGGAAAGGTGGCATCCTATGACGGTGCCACGTTGAAAGTCACTGAGCTCTTCAGTAAGGCCATTCTACTGCCAATGTTTGTCTATGGAGATTGCATGGCTGTGTGCTCGATTTATACACCTGTCAGCAACGGGTGTGGCTGAAATAGCCAAATCCACTAATTTGAAGGGGTGTCCACATACTTTTATGTGTGTATATATAGTGTACGTTCAGCCTCTTCCGAATTGAAGAAAAATTCGCAGGAGGGTGTTTCCGTTTATTAATTAATTTTTTTTGGGGGGAAGTCTGGCTTCCCTTGGCACCCATGATTACACGCCACTGCAGTAGGCTAGTAGGCTACTGGGTCGTCACTAGTTAACACATCCACAAAGTCATATTTATGGCTAAACCCAGCCTATTTCTACAATTTCTGTTTTTAAAATCTGATTTTAACCCTAACCACACTGATAACCTTTTGCCTAACCTTAAATTAGGCTATGACCAGAAAGCTAACCTTTGTTTTCATTAATTTTTACAATAGGCCTATAGCCAATTGTGACTTTCTGGCTGTGGTAACTAGTGACAACCGAAGGACTGAGATCCCAAAGACAGTAGGCCTACAGTATGAAGATAGGCAGAAACTGCTTCTCCAATAAAATCCTCGATCACACTTGTAGGCGATGTCATGGCGACGTTGGCTACTAAGCTCATGGGCAGAAACATCATCGGGTCTAACGGTTGTCTCGCACGCACCGAACTGCGCATGCGCTCCTTCGATATAACATTTTTGTTTTACGAAAATGAAAACGTGTCAGTTTGTCACTTTCACGAGGTTGGAGTAATAACATCTTCAACTACTTAAAATAATAATAATAATAATAATATGCCATTTAGCAGACGCTTTTATCCAAAGCGACTTACAGTCATGCGTGCATACATTTTTGTGTATGGGTGGTCCCGGGGATCGAACCCACTACCTTGGCGTTACAAGCGCCGTGCTCTACCAGCTGAGCTACAGAGGACCACAAGGACAAAATATTGTCTCGAATCTAGGTTGTGCCTTTAGATTTCGAGAAAATTAACAATAAGGAAGACTTGTTTTCACTTCTCTCATTGACTTCTCAAACCACAAACCCCAAACCCCGGCCTGGTGTCCTTGGTCTGTTCCCGGAATCTGTCCGGTGACTTCATATGGAGGTAGGCCTTTCTTAGTTCTTAAAAAGTGTGTAGGCCTATAAGTTTATATCAATAATATTGAAGTTGTTCCATCTGTTTCTTATGCGCAGCGCAGTGTCTTATTCTAGTCAGGACATAGTGCAAAATGTGTCCATTCCCACGGGGGCCAGTATGAAAAAAATAAAAAAAAGTATGTATGCACTCACTAACTGTAAGTCTCTCTGGATAAGAGCGTCTGCTAAATGACTAAAATGTAAAAATGAGCAAATCATGCTGTCAACACCCTCCCCTCACACACTCTCATCCCCCTAATAAGATATGGTCTTTGCTATATGGGATCCTTGGTACGTCCATACCTCATTGAAGTTTAAATGTAAATTGATAAGGGTTAAGGTTTGGGTTATGGTTAAGGTAAGGGTAGGGTAGGGTTTAGGGTATGGATGTCCTAAGGATTCCAGATAGCACTAATCAATAAGATACTGAAGTGTTGGGCGTGGCGTGTAAAAACTCCAGTGCTGTTGCACGCCTGTATTGCCCCAGGCTGTAGTTTTGTTTCAGGGTTTACATTCCAGTGATGAAATACTAATTTATTACAATCTAGGCCTATTACTGATTTTATTATATTATTTAAATAGGACTGATGTATTACTATACTAACTACCCAAATAGTAGGCCTACACCTCGCTGTCCATCCTGGTCTCAGAGCATTTCGTATTATTCTGTATAAGTAAATACGGACACTCCATTTAGTATATGTTACATTTCGTATGGTTTGTATTAATTAGTGGATGTATATTATCCATTTCGTATGATATGTTATGAATTACAGTTTGTATGATACGTTACAAATTTTCTAAATGTACAATATGTTATGAATTTTCAAAAGGTATGATATGTTACTAATTCCAATTAGTTGTGGCTAACGTTGGCTGGGTGGCTAACGTTAGGTAGCTGGCTAAAGTTAGCTAGGCTAGGGGTTAGGATTAAGGTTAGGAGTTAGGTTAAGGTTAGGGTTAGAGGAAGGGTTAGTTAAAAGGGTTAACATTAGGGGAAGGGTTAGCTAACATGCTAACTAGTTGCAAAGTAGTAAATAGTTGAAAAGTTGCTAAAATTCTAAAGTTGTCCGTGATGAGATTCGAACACGCAACCTTTGGGTTGCCAGACGTTCGCGTTCCACCCACCCTCCTTTTGTGGTTGCCTTAAAGATGCACTATGCAGAAATCTCTCCGCCATTTCCTGGTTACTAAAATTCTGATAGTTCGCCCAATTTTAGTTTATGTGACAAAACCGCAACTATAGTGTAGAGAATCTATAGTGTTTACTATCTAAACCGCTCTGAAATATATTTGCCATTTGAAGCTGTAAAAGCCGCAAAAACGAAACTTAAGAACGGGAAGCATAGAAATAATGCACATAGAAGAGATCTACCGCTTCTTAGACTTGCTTTCAATGAGAATGAAAGATTTATAATATCTCACATTTCTATGTGAATTTGGTTGGGTCGCCCAAAAAGTAAGTAACCTTCTGTTTTATGTAACCATACCAAACGTAATTTATCATAATAATTTGAGTGTCCCTGATTTACATTTACCATGTTACCTCTAGTGTAGGAGACCAGGCTTGGTTGTCCCATACTACCATAGTCTCTCATCACTCTGAACCTTGTCTTTGCCCAATGGATATTGTTGCTCTAATCTTACTGTATAAAACGTTTCATACATTCTAATTAATCTGCTTTAACAGAAACTGTGAAAGTCTCATCCTGTCTTTGAGGGCTTGACCACAGACTGTTGCACTAAGAAGGTGAACATTGCATCATGTTGTTTAGATAGACTGAGTGTTCTAAAGGAATCACCTGTCTTATCAACTAAAGGTCTAAACTCAAGCATTCTATTTGTCTTTTTGCTGCATCATCATAGTCTCAGTAGTGCAGCTGTTTTCTGGACCCTTGTCATGACAGCTTTGTCAGCACAACTAAAAGGGAAGGCTTTAGAGGGAAGATATTTTGAGCTTAGTCTGATACACCAGGAAGTTTACGACAGGGGAAGTCAGGCTTGGTACTCAACACTTTTATATGCTTATTCATTACTTGTCAGCCTTACGCGCTTCCACAATGTGACAAATATAGAAACAAGCACAAAAAAAGTTTATTTTTATTTAAGTGCTAGAAACATTGGTCGTTATACAGAGAAACAGTATAGGCCTTTGTGTGGTCTGGTGGATATCACAGTTCATTCAGGTGACATGTAGGGGACTCCTGTATGGGGAGGTGTTGAAACTAGCGATGGCCTTTGACACCATGCTGATAAGTTTTAACACTGATTCTTGTTAATGCACAATAGAGCTTTTAGTCTGATAGACGTGTGCTGCTTCTGAAGCTTTGCCAGGAAAGTCTCTATCAGTAAGGCACAGATAAACACAGATATCATGCCTAGATTGTGCCAATCAGTGCATTATTAAGGGTAATGAAGGGACAGGGCCTGGTCCAGAGCAGACTCAACCCAGAATCACTGCCTCCCCAGTCCCCTCGGTATTGCTCACAACTCCAGCCTCTTTGATTGAACCTGTTGACCTGAATACCTTCCCCTTTTTCTCGTACTTACAGATTTACCCCACTTTTGGTATTTGGCAGTGTCGCCATAATAAGCCAATATTCCCTGCCTGTGTTCATACTTCTTACAGCAGCATAGAAACACTCTCACAAAGCTCAATCAACTCGCAGTACACAGGAATCAGGCCTTGCCAATTGCTGGCTCAAACATGGTGACAAATCCATTTATTTAACAACTATACCATAATTACCTGTCATGTGACAGCTGGGAATGGAAATGGTCTGCGGTGTCATCAGCCTCTGCAGGTTTCTGCCTGTCTGATGGTCAGTCTCATCTCTGACTGACTGCTGCTGTCTCATCTCTCTCCCTCTCTCTCTCTCTCTCTCTCTCTCTCTCTCGCTCGCTCTCTCTGTGTGCCTCTCTCTCACTCTCTGTGCCTCTCTCTCTCTCTCTCTCTCTCTCTCTCTCTCTCTCTCTCTCTCTCTCTCTCTCTCTCTGTGTGCCTCTCTCTCTCTAACTCTCTCTCAGATGATGTGCGTCTCTTTGGCTTTGTGCGGATCACAACGGGTGATGCCATGAGCAAGCGGGCCAAGTTCACCCTCATCACCTGGATAGGGGAAAATGTGAGCGGCCTGCAGCGTGCCAAGATCAGCACTGACAAGACACTGGTGAAAGATATTGTCCAGGTTAGTGACTCTCTGTTCTCACCCATACTCACATGCTTTTTTAAAACAAATACTACAGACAAACAAATGTTTTCATAAATGTGCTGTTAAAATACAATACAGTAAATTGAATGGCAAATAAAGTACAACACAATTTGGCTGTGCCATCTCTCTAGCTTCTTTTGTCTTCCTTGTCCAACACTCTCTCACACATTCCTTTTTCTGTCACCTTCTCCCCCTCTCCTCTCCTCTGTTTGTCTCCTGCAGAACTTTGCCAAGGAGTTCATGATCAGTGATGCTCGTGAGCTAGAGGAGGACTACATTCGCACTGAGCTGAAGAAGGCAGGCGGGGCGAACTATGACGCCCAGGGAGAGTAAAGCAAAGTCCACCAGGGCGGGGCAGGGGAGGGGCTGCTACCTTTTGGGGGAGGGAGGGGTCTTCATGCCTGGATGAGAGAGAGAGGGGGGGATATACAGACATGCACACACATGCACACACAGATAAACACATCAACACAACAGCAACACAAAAACTCTCACAAAAAAGCACATTGAGACACACTCAGACATATGCCTACAGTCCTATCCTCAGCCCTCTTACCAGTCAGGTCATGGTTGATTATCTACTGTACTGTGCATCATCTCACTCTCATCTCAGCTAAGGCGCAACATTTAGAACTATCTCAATCTGGGGTGCTGTGTTTGTGTTACAACTGGAAAAGACACGTTACTGTACTGTATGGCAGAATGGCAGAAGGATTCTCTTTGTCTCTATATGATTGGACTTATCATCATTGTGCTTTTACTGTATCTTCCTCTGTGGTTGTAGTCCAAACATGCATCATTGGTCAATAATGTGGTCCTCTGTAGCTCAATTGGTAGAGCATGGCGCTTGTAACGCCAGGGTAGTGGGTTCGATCCCCGGGACCACCCATACGTAAAAATGTATGCACACATGACTGTAAGTCGCTTTGGATAAAAGCGTCTGCTAAATGGCATATTATTATTATTATTATAGAGGTCTTTCCTGCCCAACGGTCTCGTCTCCCAATCCACCCCCAAGTTATACACCACTGTGTTTACTGCCTTAATCTCACATGGAGAGAGGGGCATAATGGGAGTTGTGTGTGTTTGTGGACACTACACTGTTATTGGCTATCCTCCACTCATGGGGGTGGGACTAAGATTTGCCTATGGAACACAAACCAATAGGGCAGGGCTGTAGCACTGTCAGTCGGCCCAACCCAGGAGCAGCCATTTCTCTGGTGTAGCCTCTTTTTATTTGGATTAAACCCCCAAAATTAATGTTTTTATTTTATTTTGTTTAAGAGTTTAACCTTTGATTTATTCTTGAGAGCAATGTTATGTAGGAGATTCGAGGAGACAGTTAAAAACTGAACTGGGCACACGATCAATCATTTCAGAATAAAACAGTTGTTTTTTTCAAGCTTGCTGGTCTCTTTGTTTGTATCTAAAGCGCTCATTGACATGGAAAGGAGGGCTGGTTGATGTGAGAATAAGGTAAATTAGTTTTGTGGTGGTGAGGTAATGGGAGCCCTTCGCATCGTGCCACCCTAGTCTAGAGTACACATAGTAACTGTCTCTGGGGGGCTTATGGGAGTAGCAAGTGTTGTCATGGTCACTACTGTCAGGCTCAGCCAATCACATTCTCAGGGGGAGCTTTTCTGTTCTAAAGCTTGTCAATAAGAACCTCTCCCTGCTCAATCCCTCTGTTGGCTAACCCCTCTTCTCTCCTCTCTCCAACCATTTTCTATTTGCCCCTATTCTCCCTCACCTCCCCCATCTCATACCCCCTTTTCCCCTCCGCTGGTAGTTTTGTTCAACAGATGTGAACTCGACTGCCTAATTACTTAATCTAGTAATCTATAAGCCTCTAGCAGTCTGCTTTTATGACTCATAGTTTAGTTCAGTTTGTAGTGGGTAAGAGAATGATAAGACAGATTTCTTAATCCTATGTGTAATTTGAATGCTAATGTTTGTTTGTGTAGTTTGAATATGAACGAGTGTTGAATGTTGTTTATATTAGGTCAATCAATAGCCTCCAGCAGTGCTGGTTCAGGTCCAGACATGGGGCTGAGTGGTGAAGGGGGAGGGAGAGCAGAGGACTGACAGACTGGTTACAGTGTTCTGGATGAGGCTGTACTAGTCAGGTGAAGATTCATGGCTCAGTATTAAGTCACAGTAAGGACTACAGACTCCAGTAATTGAGGATGCAGGGTGAGATCAAATCTTTAAGCTTATTGTGATGTTTGTATGTGTGTGTGTGTGTGCTCTGTGTGGGTAATCCGGTGTGGGATGTACTGTGTGAGTATGTGACTTAGCCCAGTTGGAGCTGAGTGGAGGATGGGTGAGACAGGTGTTGTGTGGTGTCTTAGGGGACCATATTAATTAGATTAAAGACTTTAGGGGGTTAATTTGCATCCTTGTCACACCGGTGGACAGACTGCTTTCTGACTTTTTACCCTGAGACGATCATACTCACAGGCAAATAGGCACTCACAGACTTATCTGCTAGCCCGTTAACAGTATCATTAAGGTGTGCATGTTCTGACAGCTCCACAGCAAGGCCAAAGGTAAAGCCAGCTTTTCTCACTTGTGCTGTGGGAGTGTGTAACTATACAGCACTTGAGTGTAAGCTTGAGGGAGAAAGAGAAAGAGAGGGAGGGTGTAAGTACATGTGTATTACAGTGAGGGAGAGTTGCTTAAGAAGTGAGTATGTGAGTTCTAGGAGTGTTGTTCTCTCTGGGATTCACAAGGGAGTTCCTGCAAGTAAGACTCAGCTCCTTCCTGGATTCCAGAGGCCTCCCATATCCAGCATATTTCATATCCCACAGATCACTGCAGAGTCATGTGTGTGTCTACGTCAGTGAGTGTTTGAATGCCTGTGCGATCCATCTTATCCCAGCAATGTTCTTCCACTTTGACAGGGAGGCTTTTTCTGTTGTTCTTTTGTTTGGCAAAATGTATAATTCAAACCAGATATCACATTTGACAGAAAGACCAAGAGATATAAAGATTATGGAGTCTGTTGGAACATCTTGCCAATATCACTGAAATGTCATTGAACTGTATTATTCACCGCAGCAGTTGACATTATCAGTGTCCCTCCCTGGATTCAAAGAAAAATGACAGCCCCCAGTCACTTTCCCAAATATCACAACATGGGCTAACAAAGTGACTAGCATGGCTGGATTGTGTACTTAAGGGATATTTAACCAACCCCTCGCTGTGCAGATGAGCTCATCACTTTCTTCTATCATGTCCCCTGAGGTGCGAGAGGGGGAAGGGGAGTGAGCGGGAGTGGTGGGCTCAGAATAGGGAATAGGGTTCATTGGGACTGATGGGGTTATTTTGGTTGGGGAGGGGAAAGAGTTTAGGGAGGGGAGAAATTGGGGCGAGCAAGGGGGGCCCTTTCTGCCAGTGTGAATGGGAGAGGGAATGTGAGTGTGAATGGGTCACATCTCAATGCCCTTGTGTGCCACTCCAGCATTGGCACAGAGCAGCCATTGTCAGGGCCTAACGAGCTGAGCTGCACTCCATCCACTCCATCCAAATTGATGCATCTATCTGTCTCCTCAGTGCAGTGACTGCACTGGCTGTCGGTCCACTCAGGTCACTGTCCACCAGATCAAATCCTCCCCTATCTCTGTCATCCCTGTCATATGAACACTCAAATGACTCAATTTGGGAAATGATGAAAGCAGTTATTTTCCACAAGAAAAATTATTATAGTCAATCAGATGATCTGTCATCATGGCCAATGAAATGAGGAATATGATCGAGTAGTTTAATTTTCTTAGAAAAATGTGGGACAGTTTCTCAACTGTTGCCTGGTTACATAATTGTATGTCCTGAGGGGATGTGATCAAATGGTGGTTGTATTTAGATTTACACTGACCTAACATACTAACTAACAACACCCAATGGGTGTGTGTAAGATGCTTTTCATTTGTGTACAGTGTATTTTGGGTTAAGGAAAGGCCCTAATCTGCCTATGTGCTTCAGAAAGAAGAAAATTATTGGATCCTGTTTCAAAGGTCATCACAAGGAGCTTACATGAAGACAGAAACAGAAGAGGAAGTGATGAAGATGGAGTAGAGTTTGACAATCTGATTCAGAACGGACTCTTCTTCATAGAAACCCCTCAGAATGTCACGTTGTCTTCTAGATATAGATTATACACCTGAGGCAATACATGTGCTCTCTTTCTTTCTTTTTTTCTCCCTCTCATACTCACTTGCCAATATGTCCAGCTTCTCTTTCTTGCTGGATTCACTATTTAATTAAACTAATATTCAACTCCTCTGCATGGATCAATGACCCCAGTAAAATAGTTATTAATTGATTGATCCTGTTCAAGTTGCACACAGACTAATAAAATATGAAACACGGTCGTAGACAGAGGTTATAAAGAAAGGTCATCTCCCTCTAAGTGTCTATAGCATGACTGGGATCTGTGAGTGCCTTTTAATGGTATTTTAAATTACCCAGCCTATGTAATAACATCAGTACTAGCCTATGTAATAGCACTGTAAATCACCAATGGGTCAACATGGTAACTATTTAGAACAGACATCTATGTATCTTCTGGCTTTTTCAGAGGCAACACTTCAATATTATTGACCATTGGAAAAATACCATTATACCTGTCTATAGCTAGATATACAGCTAATTGCACAGACTGACGTTGCATTAGATATAACATTTAAAACGTTCTGCATTAGGGAGTGTGGCATTTACAAGTCTGATGAATTTGTCAGTAACATTCAAGGTCAACCCAGGACATTGTAAAAAACAGAAGAGCCAAATGAACTTCACAAACACAAATGAGAATGAGGAAGTGGTCTGTGCCAGCACAGCAGCTTAAAGGGATACTTCGGGATTTTGGCAATGAATCCCTTTATCTACTAGAGTCAGATTAATTCATGGATACCGTTTATATGTCTCTGCATCCAGTATGAAGGAAGTTAGAGGTAGTTTCGCGAGCCAATGATAACTAGCGTTAGCGCAATGACTGGACGTCTATGGTATCTACTAGCGTGCTAGCAGTTACCATAGACTTCCAGTCATTGCACTAACGTTAGTTAGCAATTGCGCTAACGCTAGTTACCAACTTCCGGTTTTTTCAGCAATAGAGTGCCAAACTGTGCACATTAGCCTACAGATGACTTGTGTGTATTGCAAAGGTATACTAACCAAAATAATTGCTGCTTTGGGTCAGTACTGACAATAAACTGAAGAACAATCTGAGTGTCTAAGCAGGTCTTACACTTAATTTATCCTATGATACAATAAATATCCAATGCTTTAAAATAAGTTACCTGTGATTCAAAGCCTTATGAATTGCATATGTACACCAATGTCCCCAGGCTTTGGCGATTCA